GATTAAAAAAATAATAAAAGTAAAAAGAAAAAAAATTGTGGTAATGACTGTGCAATTCTTGATAGGATTTAGCTATTAAATTGCCATGTGGATTATGTGCCAATAAAACTGTAAAAAAGAGGGGAGAAAAGATTTACAGTTTCAACAAAGGCAGTTTCACTCTGTCCTATGGTCGCTGTGAGTTGTACTAGACTAGATGTCAGTGGGTTTGGTATTGATTTAATGGGAGGGGAAGTCAAAAGTATTGCTACAAATTCATTGAAAGTTTTATTAAAACAGCAATATCATAATCTGAAGCTATTGTGTCTCAATATATCTTCCATCTAGGACTATACACCTCTGGAGGCAGGCACCCATCTCTCTCCTGACCTGAAAATCCTGTACTCTTCAATGTGCACCATATCAAAACAGCAGTGCGGGCATCCTCGAAGGACTCAGATCATGTTTCTTTTAAGTGTTCTTTCAGTTCTTAGAACATACAGAAATCTGAGGGGCAAAATCAGGGTTGTGTGGTAGATAGAATAAAGTTTCCTAACTAAACTCTCACAGAACATACCTTGGTACCCTTTAAGAATACGCAGGTGCATTGTCGTAATGAAAAAATTCCTCAGGGCAACTTTTCTGGCCTTTTTTCCCCACCAGTTTTCTTAAAACTTCTTCCTAATAAGTTTCCAAGGAACAGGCTGACTGTACCTCTTCTAGACAAATTGGACAGGTTTGTTTGTTCTGTTGGTAGGCCATGTTGTTTTCCATATTCTTCACCAACTCCACAACTCAAATGCATCAATTCTTCTAAGGTCATCCTTATTCATTATCCAACTTTCACATGCATATGAGGTGACTGAAAACATCACGGCTTGGGTCAAGTGCACCTTAGTTTTCTAAGTGACATCCTTACTCTTCAACGCTTTAAAAGGTCTTGTGCAGCAGATTTACCCCGTGCTATGTGTTGTTTAATTACCTGGCTGCTGCTTCCATGAGTACTGGCTATGGATCCAAGGAAAAGGAAATCCTGACCACTTCAATCTTTACTGAAGCCAGAGAAGGTCAGACATGGCCTGGCCCCAATGCCATTTTCTCAGCTCCACAGCCTGAAATTCCAGGCTCTGCATTTTAAGAATCTGCCAGTCACTGGGGCTACCTTTCTGCTTCTCAGGAGGTCCTCCTCAGTACCCCACCAGCCTGACAACTTAGAAGAAAGGACGCGCAGATACAAATATGCAGACGCAATAAAAAAGAACATTTCTAACCAGTTCTAGGCATCTCCTGCCCACTTAAAATGCAAAACCTGCTCTCGTGCCCAAGGCAGGCGGTCCGGGATTTAACTTAATCTTATTCTATCACTTGCTGGAGTTAAGGTGGTCCCTGAGAAAGTAGCTGCCATTTTACCTGCTACCCTCTGAGACTTTCCTATGAGAAGAAAAGCCCCACAGCATATGAATTTCTTAACTAATTATGAAGCCCTTTGTTTAAGGATGGGAGATTGTACTGAATGTAGGAGGAACAGGGAGAGGCTAGTCCTGAACTCAGACCCACACACTCACATTACACACAGGTTCTCCCTGTCCCTCCCACACTTCCCAGCTTAGAAAACTGGACAGAAAGAACAGACAACAGTCCCTGTTGCTGAACTGGTAAGTCCTCTTCTAGATGATGCTGGCAGATTGGAGGCTCTGCCGATGGCAAATTTTAAATGTTAACCTTTGTAGTTTCAACCCACTGCTTAAAGCCACCAAGTCTTAATTGACCTCCCTAGAAGCAATGCTGTAACCAAGAGAGGCTTTCTGACACCCCAACAGTCTCTTCCAAAAGCACAGGCAGAAAGGCTGCCTTCAAATAAATAATCCACAAGGGCAAATTACATCCATTGACATTTGATGGTTCCCAAGGGGCACTGCCTTTGGGCTGTCTCCTCCTGTGGGTTGTGTGCACCTTGAGGGTGCACTGTCTGCCAAGGGCCTTTCCTGAGCCTGGACTACACAGAGAATGCCCTCAAGGAATATCTGTGGGATGAATGGATTACCGACATGTCCCCAAGTGGCAAGGAGTACACTTGCATCCCCCAGCTTCCTCCTGTGTGCCTTTTCACATGTGCAGGTACCATCACCATGTGTTAACCAGAGGGCGAGTGCCGTCGCCTGCCAGGTCTGAGCATTTCTAGTGAATATTCAAGATGGAGGAGGCATTCAGGCTCATTATAGTGACTGACAGAGTAAGACAAGGTGACTGGACCAGATGGCCAGATAGAGAGCAATCTGGTACCTTCAGGGATGCCCTCCCTTGACAAGAGGGGGTCACCCATTCCCATGCACACATCAATCATCAACAGGTGCACTGGGCCTACTTGAGTTCCTTAAGCTCCCGACTGACGTCATTCTTCTGCTTGCGAGTGTCATCCAGGCTACGTAGGGCCTCGGCCAACTCACTCACGGCTCGGTCCCGTTCCCGCCGCAGGTTGTCACACAGTGTCCTGGCAGAGAGGGGGCAGAAGGCAAGGTCATGCTAGGGACAGGTGAAGGAGGGGCTCATAAAGGGGCCTGCAGTAGATAACTTGGTGACCCCACACTCTCAGAAACTCCTGCCTTGCGCTAGGTAGAAGGAAAATTGAGATTGGGGTGATATCACTCAGGGCAAACCATGCTCCCAGAGGGAAACAAGAAGGAAAGGGTCACCCCTCAGGTTACTGGGCAAGAAGTGCTAGCTATCCAATGTCCAGCCCAGGACTCTTGCCACGTCTCCACTCTGAGCCTAGGGTTAATGACTATCACCATCCTGAGCCCCTCTGACACATCACTAGCCTCACACTTAGCTGAGGGGTCCTCTGCATTCCTGCCAGATAGAGTCTTTTCTAGAGCTGCTTCTCCGCTAGGCTGGAAGCAGCCCAGACAAGAGCCAGATTTCCAGCCCTGAGTTCTAGGCAAACAACCTGCAGGAAAGGGTGGTTTGGGGCACCCCAAGACCTCCTTGGCTACAAAAGAGGCTGGGCCCCCTGGCAGTAGGAATTGCATACTATCATTTGTGTACCCAGATGGCTAGATCTCCATCGCTACAGCCCCAAGCCCAATCAACTCCCCGTCTGATGATGAGAGCCCAGCTTACCGTCGTACCTGGTGAAGCTAAGGAAAAGATTGAAGAAGAGTCAGATGGGCCCACCAAGCCCCAACCCCATCAGAGCTTCCCTGGCTGTGCCTTCTACCTTTAAGTGCCTACCCTCGTCCCTCACTGTACTGGACACAAAGCTGCTGTCCACCCACCACGCCTCACCACTCCATGTCTGCTCACCTCCCTCTCCTAGTCAGCCCCTTAGACATCAGCCTCTCCTCTAAAGGACCTGCCTTCTCCTGGTAGCCTGATAGCCTCTCCTGGTTCTATTCCAGCATGGATCAAGTCCATACTCCTGGGTTTACCTTCCAGTGCTCTCACAACCTGACCCAGGGACCCTGTCCACCTCTCTCCCTGAGGACCTCCCAAATGCATGCCACCCTCCAGCCATTCTCACTCCATGCTTGTCCTTCTGTTCCTCCAGTCCTTTGACACCCTTCCCGGCTTCCACCTGGAAAATGCCCACTTATGATTCAAGTTCTAGCTCAAAAGCCATACTTTTCTGGTGACACTGTCCCGAGCAGTTCCTTCAGTTCACGGGGATTTCTTGCAGGCACCCTCACTGTGGCCTGGCCCACTGCCATGTATGATCACTGGGTATGTGCCCTCCTCCTTTCACTTCCCCACCTCACCCCCCTGCCCTGGGATGGTCCCGTGAGTGCCTTCCACCCTGCTGCCCTGGGGTTGCCATGAACTCTTTCCTCACTGCTCTACTCTAGATTTGGCCCAGACCCCATGGCAGCCAGCCCCTCACAGGCATCGCAGATATGTGTCAGTCATTCCTGTCCTCTGTCTCCTTGCTCAAGGGATCTGAGGTGCCAGCACACCGTAGGCACCCAATGAGTAATGGCTGGAAGTCTCATCAGAAGCCCTCGACAGAGTAAATGCCAGCCTGAGTCAGAGACATGGAAGAGACAGACAGAGGGAAACGGGAAGGGGAGCTGGGGAGCAGCCAGAAGCCAGGAGTCCACACCGGCACACAAGGTGACCTAAACACCAGCCCACCTGAGCCAAAAAAAGGGGACCTGAAGGTGCAGGTGGCTTTACCGGATACTGTCTCGCTCTGCCACAATTTTGTCCCGTTCCTGGAAGGCCCAGTCCCGGCGACATTTGGCCACGTCCACCTCCTGGAGAGCTTCCTTCAGTTCCTGGCACAGAGCCTTGCACTGCTTTCGGAGGATTTCAACCTCCTTGTTGGCTCGTCCCGCATCCACTGCCACTGTGTCCTTGATCTGGAGCGTCGGGGACAAACAGAAGGAGCTGTTTATGGAGCTCTCTGGCCCCAAACGAGTGCTAGGAGCTGGCTGGAGAGTAGGGAACTCTTAGATCATACCCATAATTCGTCGCAGCATACCTGCCCTTCTTGCACCTACATACCCACATCCACAGTCAGACCAAGAGTACTGCTAGGGTAGGGTCTAAGACCAAACTCTTAGGAGCCTGCACAGCCCTGGACTGCAACCCCAGCCTTTGCTGAACTGTCAGCCTCGGGGGCTCAGGTGGAACGACCCCTGTGGCATCTTCGTCACAGTTCTGATTGCCACTTACCTAGTTCACACCTTCCCTAGAGCCCAATGTGGCTCTATAAAGAGCTGTTCGGATAAAATATAATTATATACATAAAACCAGGATACAATGATAGGGGCAGACATCAGTTATACTTGAAACAGAAAGAAAATAACTTTCCCTCCCTTACTGTCTAAAATACTAGATTTTTTTGTTGTTGGTTAATCATTTTATTAGGGGCTCCTAAAACTCATCACAATCCATACACATCAATTGTGTAAAACACATTTGTACATTCATTGCCCTCACCATTCTCAAAACACCTGCTCTCCACCTAAGGCGCTGGCATCAGTTCCTTATTTTCCCCCTCCTTCCGTCCCCACTCCTCCCTCCCTCATGAACCCCTGATAATTTATGAGTTATTATTTTGTCATAGCTTGCCCC